TGGTGATGAAAAACTAGCAAAAGGGTGTTCAGCACTGGAGTGCGGATCTCTCAGGCCCGTGACCAGACTTGATTATTGTCCGACAGAGCGACAGGAAACGGAGGCTCAACTACCCTGAGCTCCTGGGCAGAGGTTCTCTTGCTGATGGTCTGAAGATGGATCATGGCGAAGGTTTCTRGAGACGCTTAGTTAGGATTCTCTGTGGAGGAGGGGGTGCCACGACAACACAGGTCCCTGTCCAGCTGAGGGCCACGGGAGCAGGGCCCCATGTCCAGTGTGAGAGGAGTCGGTGGGAGGCAGGTCCCAGGGCAGGAGCCCACAGAGAAGACCCTTGCTCAGAGGTGACTGTCACAGGCTGAAGACGGGATCCCAGGGAGTCAGCTGCATGGAAGCCAGCGTGTTTCCACCTCTCCTGACCAAACCCGGACGGAACCGCCCCTCCCTTGCCCTCGCCTGGAGTTCATCCTCGGAGCTGGCGCGTGGCACCCTTGCTGGTCCTGCTGCGGGTCTCAGGCACTGGCCACCGACTTGCCGGGCGGTGCTGTCAGCCCCACTGGAGCGGGTTCCCACTTCCTGCAGGAGGCCAGAAGCTGGGCCCAGGAGGGTTGGCAGTGCTGGGTGGTCAGCACGAGGCGTCCTGGGTTGGGCTGGGGCACGGCTGAGAGAGAGGCTCTGGAGGGACCCGGTGTGGTCTCCCTTCCCGAGGGCCAGGGCCAGGGACATTCTCACGGGAGGCCTGAATGTGGCAGGAAGAGGTGCTGCAGGGCCCAGGTGGCCAAACTGCGTGGAGTGTGGTGGCCTGCACCACAGGGCACGGGAGGTCCAAGTCTCCTCTGCTGGTCCAGGAGCCTGAGCAGCGTCAGGCAGCCACGTGGGGCCACAGGTGGGGACGGTGGCCCCCAGGACCTCGTCCTAACAGAAACACACACCCGACCCCAGCCAGCCGTCTACACCAGAGCTGCACACACTGGCTCACCCCAGCGTGGCCACTGTCTGCCAAGGGGAGCGCACCTCCCGGATGCCTTCCCCCTGCAGAGGCTCTCCATGCCACAAATGGGAAATCGCAGGGTTGGTGGCTGCCCCAGGACCAGGACCCTGCACCTGACCCAAAGCCCCAGCTCTCCCCTGGCCACGAGGGGAATAGCCTCCTGAACTGGGTCCCCAGCCCCAGGGATCCTTGGACCCTGGGGGCAATGATGTGCCTGTCCCAGTGAGGACGGGCCACCAGGCCCTGCATGTCGCTGGAGTCCTGGGTGCCAACTGCCTGTGAGAGGGTGAGGCCCCACACAGTGGCTGGACCCAAGTGTGACCTGGGGTTTGCAGAGAGGGTTCAGCGAGACCCTGGAGGACCAGGGCCTCCTCCAACCCCTCCCCCCAGGCGGGCGTGCACACACAGCCCGTGACCCTGGGCCCAGGGTGGGCACCAACTCTCTCTGAGCTCCGTCCCCTTTTCTGTGGGACGCACTCACCACGAGCTGCCACCAGGGTCCGTGTGACTCCAACCAAGTGGTGTCCAGCCAAGCTCGGCCAGTGCCAGAAAGGAGGGGTGGGGTGGGGCGGCTGTCTGCTCTCCACTGGGGAGGACCAAGGGAGGGGCCAGTGCCTGGGCAGCCATGGTCCTGGGTGCCCGCACCTGGGGCAGAGCATCAGCTCGGGGACGGGCGGGGGTGGGTGGGGAGGGAAGGTCCACCGCCGTCTGTGCCAGGGCCGCTGTCGCTGTGTCTGACAGCCCTGCGCGGCCCCCTCACCAATTACCAGCACTTAGTCACCGTCTCCTGCCTGCACTTCCTCTGGCAGCAGGAGAAAGAACAGCCGGCGAGGGGCCTGCAGTGGGGGACTGACCCTGTGTTCCCAGCCTCAGAGGCCCAGTGCGGCTGGCGGGGTGGGAGGCAGGTCTAAAATAAAAAGATGGGGCTCCTCTGGCTGGCTGTACTTTGAGGAAACAGTGGCCACACCCTGGTGTGGGCACCAACTCAGGCACCCGTGCAAGCAGACTCCTGGGCTGCTCCAGCCTCCTGGGTTGTGTCCCGGGCTGGGAACGTGGTGGCCGGCCTACCCAGCCAGGTCTGCAGGGTGGGGACCAGAGAGATGGCCGTGTGGCTCTGGCTTAGGATCTCTCGGGGTGTGGTGTCAGCTGGCTCCGTCTCTACCACAGGCTCTGCCGGGATGCAGGAGCCACTGGAGGCCAGGGACTGGCCAGCCGGCCTCACTCCAGGTGCGCTGGCACTGGACTGCCAGGGCCTCCTCCTACGCAGCGCGACCCAGGGCCAGTGTCTCCAGACAGGAGGCAGCAGCCCCCTGTCCTTACCATGGAGCCTTGGGAGTCACTGTAGAGCCCACGTCCATCCAGGTCTGACAGAGGCAGGGCTGCCCAAGTACCCTGGCCCTGGCGCCTGGGACCAGGACTTGGACTCCCTTGGAGCTTTCCCAGGGAAGCAGGTGTGGGGGGCTCAGCCAGGTGTCCCGCCCAGCTGCCAGGCACCTCCAGACTCTTCCCAGTGCCAGGCCCAGGCCCCAAGAAGAGGGCTCCCCAGCATGCTGGAAGGGAGTCCTGGGGCTTCTGGGGGGTCCTGGGCCCTCCACCCTTTCCAGCTCTGCTTCCCTGGAACACCCCGGAGCCACACCCTGAGCCACAGCCAGGCTCCAGGTGGTTGGGAGCTCCACCTGGCAACTGGGGACAGGGGTTCCACTGCAGGCTCCTGCCCAGCGGAGGCTTTCTGACGGGCCGTCCAGCCTGGGAGCGCCTCTGGACCTGTTGTGGCCCCCTCCTCCACCAAAGTCTTAACTCAGCTTCTCCAGAAATCTTTACCAGGATTGATTTTAGGACTCTCAGCAAAAGAGTCTCTACAACAGAGTTCAAGGCAGGTGAATTTCCTGTTTTCCTGTTGCTCTATAACTTGGCCACTGGCCTGGAAGAGATCGGCACTCCAGGTGCTGGACGCCCCTTTACTAGTTTTTCACAAACATCTATCCAGTACAGTAGTTTTTAAAGTGTGTTTGCAAATGCAAAATGTGATAATAAAAAGACAGGTCCTTTAACCAGGCCTCTGGCCTGGAGCTGGGCTTCACAGAGGTGTCTACGTCTCTAAGATAAGAGAAGGTACTGGGCTCCGTGGTAAGAGCTGGCCGGGGAGGGAAGGGGAGAAGCAGCTCCCCCTTCTCAGTCACTGTCCTTGAGGGTTAACTTGCCCAGAACAGGGAGAGAAAAAGCTGCTTTGTGTGAACTTCTGCAGATGAACTGAGCCCCTCCCCTGACCCGCKGGGTGTGAAACTCTAACTCCCTGAACTCGGGGTTCAGGGGTTGATTGATCCCAGCAAAAGCTGTGCCCTCTGAACCTGGCTGCAGCCAAATAAAACTGTTTCCTGCCGTCTTTGGTGCCGGCCTCGTCTGTCCCTACCACAGACCCAGCCAGGGCACGTCCCTGACACAGTGCAGGTGTGGAACCAGGACTCACAGAGCCGGGGCTGTGTCTGCCCCTACCTCGCTGTGGGACCTCAGGTAGGGCACTGCATGGCGTTTTTCCCCCGGCGCTGTGGGGGATTGAAGCCCACATCGCCTGTGAGGCACACGGACCACCACCAAGCGAAAGCCTGGTCCTTTGAGGGATTTTTTTTATTTTATAAATTAGGAGACAGGTTCTTGCTGAGMGGCCCGGGCTTCCTGGAGGAGGGGTCCTACTGCCTCAGCCGCCTGGGTCGCGGGCTCTGCCCACCTTAGTACCCACCCTGGGCAGTCGCTGCCTGCTGGGACCCCAACTCACTAAGGGCCCAGCAGCACCTGAGTGGAGGCCAGGAAGGCCCAGTGCTTCCCGCCACTGAACCCATGGGGACAAGCTGAGGGCTGGGCTGACACCTGCTCTCAGGCTCTGGACCCTCGACCTACCCCTGGTTGAGAACCTCTGGCCTGAGAAGTGGACAAAGGGTGCACTTCCTCGTTGTCCCGTCTGCCCCCATGTTCCCCCTGCACACACAGACCCACTTCAGCCGTCTGAATTGTAGCCAGGTTACCATGGTGATGCCCATTATCCCTGCCGCAGGAGATGAATCAGGACTCAGCACAGAGGGAGGGAGGGGGACGGAGGGGGTGGGGTGGGGGTGGGGTGGATGGGGTGGACGGGTGAGGGAGGGGTGGACGGGGTGGATTCAGGGTTTTCTCAGACGAGGTGATTCAGAGGGAGCTCAGTTGGAACCCGCTGACCGCTCTGGTCCTGGGCGGGAAGCACTGCTCAGGCTGCAGTCACCGGGGGCAGGAGCGACCCTGGCCACGGCCTCCTGCTGTGGTGGCTGGTGCCCTGGCTGGTGCCCTGGGCCAGGAGGAGCCCGGGCCAGGTCTGCCTCTCCCAGGGCCAGATCCTCCTTGGAGTGAGGTTTCCAGGTAGCCACAGGCAGCCAGGAGAGGGTCTCAGAGAAGAGGAGGAGAGGACCAGGACGTCCCGTGACGCCAGCTGTCCTAGCCACACGGACGGTTCCTTAACAGCCTCTCGACACCACCAGCCCCAAAGGCACTTCCTCCCGTGCCATCAGCCCCCACCCCCAACCTTGAGCCACGTGAGGCTCAGGGGCCACTGTTCTCCCAATTTGCTAGAGTGGGCAGAGCAGCGCCGATGGGAGGCTCTGTGGATCCGACCTCACCACCACCTGGGGACAGCTGGGCACTGGAGCCCAGAGAGCGAGAGCCCACTCAACCTCACTCCATGCTATAGACAGAGCCCTGGAGGCGCAAGGTCGCCCGGCCTCGGCTGCGAGGAGGCTCGGGGAGGCTGGGCGTCCCACCAGGGGACAAGCTGGGCTGCTGTCCTTAACCCTGCAGATTCACGCAAGCCCAGGCAGCAGGTGCAGGCCCCTCTCCTGGGCCCTCCCCCGAAGGAGCTCCGCCTGCGGTCTTCCTACTACTCCACAAATCTGTTTCTTTCTGACACTCCTGCCCCTGGATTCCATTCTTTGAATTTGTGACAAGGACAGCTCAGCCGTCCTCGCAGGTCACAGAGGCACAAGTCCACTCCTGGGCCAGGTGAGGCTTTATTAGACCCGACGCTCCCTCAGACCCCCAGGGCCCTGGGATGTGGACAGGACGCTCAGGATGGCAGCAGGGGCAGGCGGAGGGGTCCAGCCAGGGCAGAGAGGGGTCTGCCCGGGAGGGTGTGGGGCCTCAGGACAGCCCCGGCGTGGAGGGCCTGCCAGGCCTGTCCTACCCTCAGCCACCCCTGGCTCCAGCAGGGATAGGCCTGGGGGCTGCTGCTTCGGGTGCCCCCCAGAGGGCCTGGACTCCTTCATCTCCCGCCCTCCCAGGCCAACAGGACGCCAGGAGGGGACAAGCCTGGGCTGGAGCAGGAGGCTTCTGGGGGCCTCAGGGGCTTAAGGACCCCCAACGGAGCTGGAAACAGAGGCCGCGGGGGCACCCTGGTCACAGTCCCCGTGCCTGGAGTCCTCAGGAGACGAGCGGGGGCTGGCCTCTCCAGGGAGGCTGCAGAAGCCACGTGGAGGCAGCTCCTTGTGGCTGTAGTACTCCACCATCTGCTTGGGGACCTCGGCCAGCACACACTTGGCCAACGCCGCGGGGGAGGCCTAGGGTGGGGAAGGCAGTGCACTTGAGCCCTTTGAGATCCTTGTCCCCCACCTGGTCACAACCCCAACTCTCAACGTGGTCTCAGGGACCAGCAGGGAGCTGACCTAGGCCTGGTGCCTGCTGAGCTTCTCCTAAGGACACAGACTGAAAATCCAGAGGATGAGTCCACAGCCCCGGAGCTCCGAGGGCCACGTGCACCCGCCTCCCCCAGGGGCTGGGGCAGGAGGTAGAGGGGCTGCTGGGCAGGTGCTGCCCACGCTCCCCGAGGAGTGCGTGGGTGTGGAGAGCCCTCTGTGTCCCAGGAAGTTCAGGGGCTGGGGCAGGAGGTGGAGAGGCTGCTGGGCAGGCACCACCCGCGCTTCCTGAGGAATGCCCGGGTGTGGGGAGCCCTAGTGTCCCAGGAGGTGCAGGGCAGGGGGAAGCTGCTCCCTCTGCTCCTATACAACCGAGTTCCTGCAGCCAAGCCTTAGGCTCCCTCCCGGGCCCCAGCTGGGGCGCGCCAGGTCCTCGCTGGCCAGGCTCCGGTGGCCTGCCCGGGGCCCTGCGCTCACGCTCTTGAGCTCCCGGAAGGGCAGGAACTGCACGATGTCCCGGAGCGCCGGCTCGCCCCGGGGGGAGCGTAGGACGCCGTCCTCCCCGTCCAGAGTCTGCATGTCGGTGAAGTCCGCGTTGCCCACACCCACGATGATGATGGACATGGGCAGGTGCGAGGCGCGCACGATGGCCTCCCGCGTGTCCGCCATGTCGGTCACCACGCCGTCCGTCAGGATCAGCAGGATGTAGTATTGCTGCGGACACAGGAAAGGTGTGGGGCGGCACCCAGGGCCCTGGCCCACGGCCAGCTGTGCCCCCACCTGGATTGGCCAGAGCTTGGCTCAGCTGTGCGTTTGTTGCAGCAGCACCGCTCACCACGACGGCACACTCAGGGGTCTCTGCAGTTACCCTACTCCAGCTCCACCGGGCTCCCTGTCACCRACCCACCTGTGGCTCTGGACGGGCACTGCAAAGTCCACCTGACACGTCGGCCAGGCTGTGATCCAGAGGAGGAGGGGCCAGCGTGAGCAGGGTCCACTGCAGCCCCGGCTGCGGGAGGCAGCGGGACCCTTTGCAGAGAAGCCCACTCTCCAGTGAGAGCCAGGGCCACCCCACAGTCTCACTAAAGAGAAGGGGTTCCCAGAGCCCGAGCCCTGAGGCTGGGCCGTCTCCCTCACACCCCTGCCTCCAGCACAGTGGACACCCAGCAGTGGTACTATCCAGGGAACAAAGGATGGACAGGCCACAGGCCCGACCAGCCTCAGAGGAAGCAGGGACTTCCCTTTCTGCAGCCATCTCCGGCCACCCCCTCTAGAGCCAGAGTGCCTCAGAGCCACACCAGCCTGCTCCTGGCCTCCAGTACAACAGCCCTGCTCAGAGCCCACCTGGTCCCACCCAGACCAGGTCAGCGCCCGCCTGGTCTCAAGCGCTCCCTCTGCCAACTTTGGGCACCCCTGGCACCGTCACCCCTGCTGTCTCACACAGGAAAGGAGAATTAAAGACTCATCTCGTGACATCTCGTGGCCACCCATTTCTTGGTGGGAAGTGTCATGACTTGGGAACAAGAGTGAGGCCACACACGCGGGCTGGTGTCTAAGCCAGGGACACCACCGGTTGGGCTGGGGCCGAGTCTCTGTAGAGGCCATGAGAGGCCCACAGGTGGAATGTGTGTCTAGCACTGCTTCACAGCATCACCCGACCCCTTAGCCAGAGGCCACGGCCAACAGACAGGGCTGTCAGTCGGCAAAGTCTGAGGGGAGGAGACCAACCACATCACGCTGCACGTGGGAACGTGGCAGTGCCCACTGCGTAGTGTGTGTGGCACTGAGGTTAAACGCACCGTGCACCTGGTGCAGTGGCCACGCCTGTGATCCCAGCTACCTGGGAGGCCGAGGCAGGAGGATCACAGGTTCCATAATAAAAGAGAGGAGGTGGGCGTGTGTGGCTGGGTGTGAGCACAGAACCACACCGTGCACCCTGCAGTCTCTGATGCTGGTGCAAAAACTAAAACATGAAAATATGCAAACAAACTACTGAGTTTCCCTCTGGAGCCCGAGAGGAGAGCCTCTCCTGGCCCCTGCTGGACCCCCACTGTCCTGAGGCCTGCACACTGTATACTTTAGAATGGTCTCAATGTAACTTGAAAAAACAAAACTAACAAAAGCACGAGGGTGGGGGGCGGGCAGACGGGCCAACGTGCAGACAGGGATGGCTGCGGTGGCACGTCACTCCTGTAAAGCTGACATCTTTTCAAAGGTGAGCAAAGGTGAAGGAAAGCAACAGGCAAGAGGCAGCGTCCCCAGCAGCACACAAAGTGCAGAATGAAGTCACAGGACAATGTCATATGTACCGGGAAACCCTAGCATCCCTGACCGCCTGTGTGTGATTGCAGGACGATAAAAACTGACCATGAGGCACCTGTCCACCCAGCCCTCCGTCCTGCCCCAGGGTCTTGGCACTGGTGCTGCCTGTCCCAGATGTCTGCAGGCTGCCTCCCAGGGCCGGAGTCCACACACGGCCCCCTCCACATGCAGCGCCAACCCTCCTCCTGGCACCCCAGCCCACACCCGGGCACCTACAGAGGCCTCGCCAGTGCGCTCCTCAACCGCCGCCATGCGGGCCACCTTGGAGATGATGGGCGCCACGTTGGTGGGGCCGTAGAGCTGGACCTGGGGCAGGCAGTTCTGGTAGGCCTCCACCACACCCTGGATGCCTGTGGGGACAGCAGGTGAGCCGGGCCCACCCCACCCGCCCCAGGCCCACTGCCAGCTCCTACCTTCACACTCATCGTCCTCGGGATTGAAATTGATGGCAAAGTCATGGGACACCTGGGTGGGCAAGAGGGGCCAGTGGCTGCTGGCCTCCCAGGACCTCGACCACATCCTGAAGCTTCCCGTTGGTCAACCCCCTTGGTTTCTGCTCCAGCCAGGGGACTGCCTCCCGCCTCTTTCTGATGGGAAGCAGGGGCTCACCTCCAGCCCCCACCCTGCGTCCTAGGAGGTCAAAGGTCACCCTCTCTGGCAGGAAGCCACCTCCCTGCCCTCTGTCTAGCAGAGTGAGGTGGCAAGAGACCCGGGTGACAGGTGTGGTGGCGTCCAGGCCCCAGCCTGGTCTCCTACCTCATACTTGGGAGGGATTCTGGCTCCAAACCCCAAAGCAGAAAACCTCTTGTCACTGGAAGAAAGGCAGCGCCCGTCACCCAGGGCCTCGCTCCTCGCAGGAGCAGATGTGGGCCCAGGCCTAGAGGTGGCACTCAGGCCACTAGAGAGCCACGGAGGCACGTGGGCACAGGCAGGAGGGCGGAGCTGGCCAGGATGGTGCTGCTGCCCCCAGCCTGCAGGGCTCTGACACAGGGCACTGTCCGTCCACAGGACCCTGGGGTCCACAGGACCAGGGCACACTCTGGCCACACACCCCTCCATCCTCCACCCAGAGGGAGGGCTCCTGGCAGGCAGCCGTGGCGTGGGCATGGTGTCCAGCCCTCTGGGCCTGTGCTTGGTCCCTCCCAGGGCGCCCTGGAGTGAGCCCTACCTCCGTGGTTCCAACCCCTGGGGACACCAAAGGCACCAGCCAGGCCTCTGTGCCTAGCTCCTGACCACCCCATTCCGACGGCCAGAGGGTCAGGCTGGCGTCCAGGTGCAGGGTATGCCCCCCGTGGGCTGCCACAGAGGTGCCCCCCGGCTAGTAGCCGCCCAGGGGCGGCCTCACCTGTCGTAGTCCTGGCAGACCTCGCCCACGGCCACCAGCGCTCTCAGGTACTCGTTGGGCTGGCGGGGGTCGAGGTGGTGCAGGGAGCAGCTGTTCCGGGGGTCGCCGTTGGAGGCCGTGAAGTCAATGGCTACCTGCAAGGGCCAGGGAGGTGGGCAGCACTGGCCCGCCCTCCGCCAGGCAGGCAGGGGACCCAGCCCAGGGCTGGGTAGGGGACTGGTTCAAGGAGGAAGCTGGGGCTACTGCCCCCCGATGCCGTCCTCCAGCCTCTGCAGGCAGGTGCACCGGGTGGGGGGGGTCTCCCAGAGCCCAGGCTCCCCCGAGGCCCCAGCATGACCCCAGCAGAGCTGAGCTCCCGCTGGGGGGCACTCATCCCCCCTCCCTCCACGGTCACCCTTGTGCCCTGGTCACCCTTGTGCCTCCCACTGGGGCCCTCTCAGGGCCTCCCGGGGCTTGCTGTCTCCCACTGCCCACCCACTGCCTGCCCAGGGCCACATGGGCATGGTGGTCCCACAGTCCAATGCTCACTCTCCTAGGTGGTCCCCCTAGGAGCAGGCGAGTCCTGACCGGGTCACCTCTGAGGGTGACCCTGGACTGGTTTCTGTGTGCCCACCCTCTGCTGCAGGGGCCCTGGGGGCCGACTGGGGTCCTGCCCAGGTGGCCTGGGCTCTGGGTGCGTAGCAGCCTGGCCAGACTCACAGTGCAGTGGATCTGACAGCCGCCCATGATGTAGTCCAGGAAGGAGTGGACCCTGTGGAGCTTCCAGGCAGGGGCRTCAGCAGGGCCCCCCAGGGCTGCCCCCCCAGGCCCATGTGGCAGCCCTGGGAGCCTGTCCTCCCCTGAGGACCCCGGCCTTCTCCTCCTCCCTCTGCCCTGGCTCTGCCCCTCCTCCAGGGAGGACGCGAGACCCCTGGGAGGGCACCCCAGGGTCCACCGCCCGGGACAGAGCTCCAGGCAGGGCGCGCCTACCTTCAGGCCAGCCAGGACCACCACCCCGGAGTTCCTGTAGCTGCGCTTCCTCTGCTTGTACTTGGCGTTGACACAGTCCCACTGGGCCTGGGCACAGGGTGTGCAGGATGCCAGGTGGCCATGTCCATCACCCTCGCCCTGGGGCTGGCAGAGGCTTCAGCCTCTGCCAGTGACCTGTCCTCATGACTGTCCCCAGCAGTGACCACCAGGGCCCAGCCRGGTGTGGAGGACAGGAGCAGCCACCCTCTGGGGACCCATCTGCTGAACGGGGCACACACAGCATGGATCGGGACCCCAAGGGGGAGCCGGGTTAGCACAGCATGGCCCTGCCACCTGGGGAGAGGGCCACCTCTGGAGCCTGCAGACCTCCCGTGGGGACACCGGGCCCACACCAGCAGGCGTTCCTGCCACCCCAGCTTCAGGTGTGCCCTTCCACCGAGTGGACACAGGGGCACACGCCTGCACGCCCACCGCCAGGCCTGGCCCTGGGGGGCCTCCGGCAGGGCCATTCCGACTGTCACCCCAGCGCACCCGGGCTCTGGGCACCATGGCATCTCTGGCTTGCCACCAGCACTAGTCTTCCCAGGGTCGTGACAGTAGCTGCTGCTGCTCCCAGCCACCACCAGGATGGCCAGGCCGCTAGCGGGGGCCCCAGCGCGGGCTCACCCGGCCCTCCGAGAAGGCCCTCTGCATCTCAGCGAAGGTGGTGGAGAATTCTCCGATGAAGTCGTGCCTCCCGCGGGAGTCGTGGTCCCAGACCAGGCCCTGGGAGCACAGGCCCATCAGCCCACCTGCCCCCTGGGGCCCGGGGACCCCTCCCCCAAAGCCAGCCACCCCCACAGCCTCTCCCGACCCTGGTTTCCCAGGAACAAGCCCAAGTACGTTTTGGGGGCTGGCTCTTCTCCGCCCATCTTGGCCCGTCCCATCTCCGTCCCTGCCCCTTCCCTACCTTCAGAGGCCGGGTCTCCTCGCAGCTGCACAGAGAGCTGAGGGACACCTTGAAGGGCTCCCACACAGGGCTGAGGTTGTTCTTCACCACCTAGGGACCCGAGGGCTTGGCGGGGGCAGAGCCAGGGGCCAGAACCCAGGAGGCTCTGGGGTCCTGGGGCAGTAGGGGGCTCTGAGGCTCCCAGGAATCTGGGCTCCCCACCCAGAACCCTGGGTCCAGGAGGCTGGCCTGCCTCCATCCAAGGCCCCACGGGCCCAGGACCRGGTGCCCCTCCTGGGAACCTCCCTCAGAGGTTCCACTACTCACTGGACCACTGGACCCTTTTTTTTGCCTGAAATAGATTTTTTTTACTCAATTTATCTCAACAGGAAACCCTCCCTCCCTGCTGTAACCACCGTCTCCCTGCAGGAAGGGGGGGTAGCCCTAAAATTAATCACAGCCCAAACCACCCCCCGCGGGACTCTGCCGAGTCCGCCGGGCCCACCCTGCAGCTCCCCAGAGCGGGTCCAGGTGCTGGGAGCAGAGTCCACCGCCAGGGCCGTGGGGAGTGGGTGGCCAGTCCTCCTCCTGCCATTCACGCCTGCCAGGAAGCGCCCGGGGGACCCGCCGGCCGGAGTGCCCGGGTGGGCGAGAGCCTCACCTCTGTCCTGTAGACCAGCTGCTCGCTGCCGTCCCTGTTGATGCGGAACAGCTCCAGGAAGGGGTCGGACTTGCTGAAGAGGTCCTGGGGCAGCAGAGGGCTCATGGCGAGGGGCCAGGAAGTGGGCTCAGTCACTTCCCCAGGCACTGGGTGAGCAGCTCTGGGGTGACAGGGACCTGGCCCCTGGAGCCCTCCTCAGTGCCCCAGCGTGCCCACGGGACCCTGGCTCCATCCGGGCCCTGCCTCCTCTCCTGCTCCTGTGTCTACCCCATGTCCCCACCCCTGCCAGACCCTCCCCACTTCAGTCTCAGCTCTGACATCTCCAGAGAGGCGCTGGGACCACTCGGAGTGCCCAGGGTGCCCTCCCACCCGCTGAGGCCAGCAGGCCAGGCTCCAACCCAGTTCCTCCACCTCCAAGGCCTGGCCTGGGGGCCTCCAGCCTGGTCCCCATCATTAAGTGGGGTCATGAGTGTCTCTGCTAAGGAGTGGCCATGGCTGGTGCAGAGCCCCTGGGGAGGACGTGGAGCTGGACGCACCATGGGCGCCCACCTCACCTTGTCGTCCAACTTCCTGGCCTGGAAGGAGAGCTCCACATAACCATTGTTCCCAGAGATGTCCTCGGCCACCACCTGGGGGAGAGGCCCCGCTGGGCTGCAGGCCTCCTGCAGGTCYAGGCTCCCCAGACCTGGCCTGCTCCCCTGGCCCCACCCAGCCCCAGAGCCACAGGGGGAGGAGGCCCCAGGGGGTCTTACAGTGATGGAGGACTTGCCGGCAGTCCTGCCGAGCTTCAGCAGCAGCGGGCGGGTCATCTTCTTCTGGGCCACAATCTGGACAGAAAAGGCAGGGACGGGATGGCCGAGCACAGCCCCGAGCCTCAGGGACCTGGGCCTTCTGCTCCTCCCCTCTCCCGCCTGCTCCCTGGCCTGGGCCTTCTGGGGCTCTCAGGACCCAGGGCACCAACACCTCTGCATGCCACCTCCTGCTCCGGCACCTCCAGGACTGGCCATGTGAGGAGGGGAGCCAGGCTCAGAGGCCAGGCCACCACAGGGCTCCTGCACAGGAAAACAGGAAGCAGAAACAGGTCCACACCTAGCGCCTCCAGCCCTCAGGCCAGGGCCAGGAAACGGCTGCCAACACACCTGAAGTGAGGACCTGCAGGGCAGGTGAGGACCAGGTGAGGACCAGATGAGGACCCATGGGGCAGGTAAGGACCAGGTGAGGACCAGGAAACCAGGAAAGGACACACAGGGCAGGTGAGGACCAGGTGAGGACCCATGGGGCAGGTGAGGACTAGGTGGGACCAGATGAGGACCCACAGGGCAGGTGGGGACCAGGTGAGGACCCACAGAGCAGGTGAGGACCAGGTAAGGACCCACAGGGCAGGTGAGGACTAGGTGAAGACCAGGTGAGGACCCACAGGGCAGGTAAGGACTAGGTGGGACCAGGTGAGGACCAGGTAAGGACACACAGGGCAGGTGAGGACCAGGTGAGGACCCATGGGGAAGGTGAGGACCAGGTGAGGACCCCAGGGCAGGTGGGGACCAGGTGAGGACCCACAGGGCAGGTGAGGACTAGGTGGGACCAGGTGAGGACCAGGTGAGGACCCTCGGGGCAGGTGGGGAC